AGTCACGCGAACTTTGCTTCTCTATATACATGAATTTGCTATCTGCCTGCCAGAAGAAAAGAGGAAAGAACACAGATAAATAAACCAAAATCGCCAATGCGAGTAGCAATGTAAGACGGACCTGATACATATAACGAGGAGGCGGCTCAGCTGCTATGCGGATGCGGCAAATGTATCATGCTCTTGTTTACTAGCGGCAGCGTCGCCCCATCTTTCCTCGATCCTAACAGCTTCTCGCTGCAAACAAAAACCATAATCAACACTTGCTTAGCTCACCACACACCTAACTACATTTTTAACAATGGAGCTTCTCAATCCAATAAGGCCGGGATTAGAACATTGACACTTACTAAGTTCATTACACATAATGCTTACACATGGTACGTTTTGTTCTCAACACAATCTTTGTCCAATTCAATCCAACCGCTAAAATCTATCCTCGAGATTTCGACTTAATCTACCGAAACTGTACTACAGACTTGTGTTACTCTCTACAAAGTAAATTTTTTCTAACCCATGAAGATGATATCATTTGATCCCAAGACTACCAATCATAAGGACTAACTTCCAGCCTAACTAATACCAATCAAAACGGTAAATTAGTCACCTTGTATACGGCGGTGGACAGAAGATGATGAAGTAGTCGGCTCCGGTGGCGCAAGTGTAGGTACTGGTCTTGTCGTCATAAGCGTAGCTGTAAGCTCGTGGACACGCGTACTTAAAGAAGAGCGAGTAAACCGAAGGGTGACACGTGTCCGGAGTCGCGTACGCATCGCTGCAGCAATACCTCGGGTCGTTGAACGCCTCGCACGCGCTACGGCAAGCAACACCGTTTCTTTTCCCACGCGCCACCAGTTTCAGGTCTCTAGGACACGCGCCGTTCAAATCCACGAGACAACCCGTGGCTCCGCAACCTCCGTCGACGATTCTCTTGGGCAAGATTAGCACCGGGAGATTGTAACCGTCGACGAGGCTAACGTCGTAAAAGTCTAATCCTCCGGTTCCGTTTAGAGTAAACTCGGCGAGTGTTGCTGGTGGTTTAGCTCCGGCGCCGGAACATTCAACCTTACCGGAGCCACAGTCTGCGGTCAAGCAAACGAAAGAACCGGAACTCGGATCTTGTGAACACAAGGTTCGTGCCCAGAGACGACCGGACCACGACGGTGGTATCTGAACCGTTTTGGATCTTCCTCTGGCAAGACGAAAGCCAGTGGTTGGAAGCGGCGCTGAGTTAGCGCCGGAGAGTAAACCGGGCCATATCGTGTTCCGGCAACGATTTGTGATCTTGAACGAAATCGGCTCAACTTCTGCAACCAGAAATGAATCGAATCAAAAAGGGTTATAGATAATAATCAAGCAATCAAGAAACGTCCAGAAAATGAAATGAATTGAACATAATCGAATCACCTGAAAGTGATAGGAATAAACCCAAGATCATAAACCAGAGGATTCGATCCATCGTTGCTTCTTATGATATAATCAGGTAACGAATGTGGAGTCTGGAGTTGTAATAATCTCTGGATAAGGAGAGATTAGAGGATTGAGAAAGTAGGATTTTGAGTAAAGCTAACAACTTTACTTGGTCTCGATAAAAGAGCGGCGGAGGAAAGTATGGAGAGAGAAAGCCTTTTGTCTCTTTCAACAACCTCTTCAAACCGAAACCAACTGGGTCGCTGAATCGTTTTTAAACCGGTTAAATGATCCGGTTTTTGATTCTCCATTAGGCGGTGTGCACGTGGACGTTGTATGGGGACCATTCAACATGTTCCATTAAATTCTAGAGCATTCCGATTTCCAAGATTAACCAACAAGATTGATTACAACTTTCACATGTTATCTGCTTAACCAATCAATTTTCTTAAGAGGCTACAGTAAAATTTGAGTGTATTGAAGAAACGGTTGCGTTTTATTCTAGAGAAGATCAAAAGATTTCAATACGCATTAAATAATTACTATGATGGAGACTGCAATTGGAATTAAATTCTCTATGCAGTCCATGAACTAAATGCCATCAAATATTTTCTTTATCCATTTGTCAGATCTATCGTCTTCAACATAATCCATAAGAGATTCAAAGTAAAATATCAGATCTAACATGGTTCATGATTCAAAACAAAACCCAGAAATTTATCCGAAACTTCATATTGTTTGCATATGAACACTTGAAACAGAGCACAAGTAACCCAATCACAAGCACCATAAAAAAACCATTAAAGTAGTAGCATAAACAATAACCAAACCATAAGTCCTAAAAATCCGAAACCATCAAAGAGAAAGATCTGAAAACCAAAGCTAAGAGACCATCATAAGCAAAAGCGGATAATAAAGAGATAGTAGTACGCGGCGAGAAAACGATCGGATCATGTTTGAAATGACGGATTCAGCCTCCCCCACCGCCGGTCCGGTGACCGTTTCAACGAGCACCACCGCTGGTGCAATCCCTCGCGAAATGTCCAGACTCACCACAGTTGTAGCAGCTTCCTCCGCCGCCTCCTCCACTTCCGCCGTAACCACCGCCTCCTCTTCCTCCGTAGCCACCACCTCCACCGTAACCACCGCCTCCTCCGTAGCCACCACCGCCTCCTCCGTAACCTCCACCGCCTTCAGAACAATCTCTCGCCATGTGACCTGGTTCACCACACTTGTAGCAGTCGCTTCCTCCTCGACCACCACCTCTTCCTCCTCCTCCGTAACCACCCCCACCAAATCCACCTCCAGATCCACGGCCTCCGCCTCTTCCGCCACCACCTCCAAAGCCTCCACGTCCTCCAGATGAACCACCGCCACCGCTGTTTCCTTGAACAGGAGCACCGTCGGGTCCAGACACTTCAATAGCCTTAGGACGGCCATTGTTGTCCATCTCGACCTCGAACTCAACAGATTCTTCAGCCGCGAGGCTTCGGAAACCTTCAGATCTGATGGAGGACTGGTGGACGAAGAGATCGTCGCCACCGTCGTCTGGAGTGATGAAACCGAAACCCTTCTGGGTATCAAACCACTTCACCGACCCTCTACGCCTCTCACCACCATTGTTGTTCTCTCCACTCATTCTGATCGGAAATCTCTTTAACCCTTTTTCTCTCAGAAAACGAAACCCTAGAAAATTTCTCCCGACAGATCTCTCTTCACGCAGCCGCTGTATATATGCGTAGGAGAGGTGTGGCAAGGGTATGACTGCCACGTCACCACACTATTATATTTCCCAAATATTATTTCTTTTTTTCCCTAATATATTTGTAGTATTTGGATTCCTTACCATTTCTACCTTTTTCCCTTTTATATTATTTTGGTATTATTTTAAAAGTAGTATATGATTTTTGGACATAATATTTTTTTTACAAGTTACAGAAAAGTATTAAATAAAATTCTTCGTAGATAATCTGTGACTAATAATATTCCACAACAAACAAAATGAAAATCTGAAATATGTACCGAAATTAACAAAAAAATAAAAAAAAAGAAGTGGGGAAGAAAACTAATAATTAAATAAAGGAGTTAAAAATGGGCCAGACTGTGTTAGGGCTTTATAAATATTTATCCATTTCGGGAAAGAGAATGGATCGTAGGCCCATCTTGGCCGATGTATCTGGACGGTTGGGGTATTTTCCAGGGGGAATATGAGCCGTTAGATTTAGGTCGTTGTGTTGAAATAAATGAAGAGGGGTAGTCTGGGAACAGAGAGATCATTTAATTTTTGTTTACTTTTTGTGCAGTCAACATTTAAAGAATGAGCCACGTCATCGCATAGTTTCAACGCGGTCAATAGAGTGGTCAATACACACAATACGCATTTATGGTCCCACTTTCCACATGTACATATTTTACCAACCAGAGATTATACTTTTACCAAATTTCAATGAAGTACAGTAAATTGAGACGACTTATCTTTTGGTAGATCTCTATGGGATAATAATATACGAATTTTAGTGGTGGATGAAATACAAAACTATATATTGGCCGTTTAATATAATATTTTCAGTGAAAAAAAGATAATATATTGGCCGTTTCATTGACTAATTTATATTTAGCTTTAATTTTAAGGGAACTG